GCCAGCACTGGGGGCTGGGCAGTCCAGCCACTTGGGCCCCACGGGCTGGGGGGAGTCCGGGTCGGTCTTGACGCTGCCCTTGGGAAAGCGCCAGTAGTGGACGCCCTTGAAGAAGTAGGTGTCACCTGCGAGGGGGGAGACACTTCAGTCCTAGCCCGGGGCTGCCCAAGCCCCGCCCCCTGCTGGCCGAGGGCTCGCCAATTCCCCCATCCTCCAGGCACCCCTCACCCCCCCAGGACCAGTAACTGGCAGGTGCCAGCGGCTGGACCTCCTCCCCCGCATCCTCCCACCTGTGTTACTGACGGTGACATCGTCGGGGGCAGGGGGCGCGCCTTCCCAGAGACTCAGCTCGCGTGGATAGCCGGGGTCCGGGCGCGCCGCCGCCTCGTCGTAGCGCCAGTAGCGCTGGCCCCGGATCAGGTAGGTCTTTCCGTTCAGGGGCCACAGGAACACGGCGTCCACCTCCTCCCCCGGGGGCAGCCCCAGCTCCGTGAGCGGCCGCGCCCCGCCTTCCAGCTGCCGGTCCTGGAACACCCAGAACTGGGGGCCTGGAGGGAGGAGGCTGGGAGGTCAGGGTGGACTCCGCGTGCTAGTCCCCAGCCCACCCGGCCATCCGGCCCCCACTCACCACTGAAGAGAAGGATCCGGCCGTCCCGGTGCCGGGCGTAGGCGGCCTGGATGACCCTCACGCGGGCAGGCAGCCCCTCCCAAAACCGGTGTAGTCGGGCAGGCCGGTGGGACACCAGCTGTCCCGAGGGCTGGAGACGCCAGAACCAGGGGCCTGGGAGGGAAGAAGGGGCTGGCACCAGGCGTATGTAGCAGGAGGCCTTCCCACCCACCCTCCAACACCCCCCCAACACCCTCCCTCCACTGTGTGTGTGGGGGCGGGGTTCCATCTAGAAATCATGCGCAGGCCAGGTGTAGTGGCTCTGGTCTGTAATCCCAGCACTCTGGAAGACTGAGGTGAGAGGATTGCTTGAGCCCAGGAGTTCAAGACTAGCCTGAGCAACATAGCAAACTCATCTCTACAAAAAATTTTAAAAATTAGCTGGGCGTGGTGGTGTGCACCTGTAGTCCCAGCTACTCAGGATGCTGAAGTGGAAGGATCTCCTGAGCCCAGGCAGGTTGAGCCTGCCATGAGCTGTGATTGTCGTGATCATGCTACTGCACTTCAACCTGGGTAACAGAGTGAGACCCCCGACGCAAAAAAAAAAAAAAAAAAATCAGCCGGGCATGGTGGTTCATGCCTGCAATCTCAGCACTTTGGGGGGTGGAGGCAAGAGGATTGCCTAAGCCCACAGGTTCGAGACCAGCCTGGGCAACGTGGTGAGACCTCATCTCTACAATAAATCAAAAAATTAGCTGGGTGTGATGATGCATGCCTGTGGTTCCAGCTACTTGGAAGGCTGAGGTGGAAGGATTGCCTGAGCCCAGCAGGTTGAGGCTGCAGTGGCTGTGAGCATGCCACTGCACTCCAGGCTGGGCATCAGAGTGAGACTCCACCTCAAAAACAAAAATCAAGGGCACGGTGCATCTAGGGTGACCAACTGGTCGCAGCTTGTCCAGGATTTTTCCTTTTCTAGAGCTAAAAGTTCCATTTCCCGGGAAAGCCCACAGCCTGGTGGGTCACCCCAAGTGGGTAGGAAGCCAACCATGTGGGGTTGAAGTGACTCACCTTTGAAGAAGAAGGTTTCCCCACGGATATTGGCGATGGCGTCAAAACTGCCCTCACATCGATCAGGGAAGGGGGAGGAAGGGCTGGGGGGAGAGGAGAGGTGAGGAGAGGTCCTCCATGCAGGGACTCCCACCACCCCCCTCTCAGAGGATGCTGGGGACAGGGGGCTGGCCACCCAAGGTCACACACTCACCTGTCAGGAGGCAGGTTTGGGGGCTGGGGAGGAGGAACCAGGGGTTTCCTCGTGGGCTTGTCATATGGGGTTTGGGGCGCCTTCCCTGTGAGGAAAGTCGGACAGGTGTGGGTGCCTTGGCCTGCTGCAGAGGCTGCAGGCAAGCCACGAGGCTGATTCAGGGTGGGGCCCCGCCCCCCTTACCATAGAGCTGTTGCAGGCCATCTCGGTCATCCTGGGACAGGCGGTACTTGTCAGGGTCACCCACGGGGCCCTGGTAAAAGGGCCTCATGATGGAGTTGGGTGCTGAGGAGTGGCCCAGGCCCAGGGCATGGCCGAACTCATGGACAGCCACAGCGAACAGGTCGGTTCCCTCACCATCTGAGGGGGAGAGTGGGCTGGAGCTGAGGCCACCCCACACCAGGAAAGGGGCAGCCCAGGAAGTCCCTGCGAGTGAGGCCTGCTGTCCAGCAATAACCGCCAGGAGGCCCTCTGGAGATGGCCTCAGCTTCCTCTGCCCAGACCCCTCCCTGAGCCACTCCATCACTCATGGCTGTTCCCCATTCAGCCTGGCCATGCTGGACACTGGGCCAGAGGGCTGAGGAGACCCAGAGAATGCCCCGAGGAAGGGATGTCCCTACATGGATGTGGCCATCCCCTAGGAAAGGAAGACTTTGTACATAGAAACTTTGGGGAGCAGGAACCTGGGGGTGCATGCAGCTCTCTCCGAGAAGCCTCAGCCTTAGAACATCCCCAACTCCCAGCTCCAGTCTGAGGTTAGAGACCCCCCTTTCCCCTCCCACCCACATCTGCTGGAAATAAAGATCAGTCTCCTCCACCCAAGAGCTCTCCACATTCCCAGGCCATGGTTCCTCCCCTCCTGCTTTCCGTCTGTCCCTACCGCTCCTCCACCACCACCCCCCACTTCAGCCTTCCTCCATCTCCTTGGGAACATGGGACTCTCTCCAGCAAGCACTCTCAGACCACAGCCTGTGGCCTGGCGCCCAGCCTAGCTCCCAGCCTCCTCCCACCACAGCTGCCTCTACCCTGGGGATCCAGCCTGGGCACCAGAACCACCAGGACTGAGCCTCTTCATGCTCCAGCCCTGGCCGGAGCCCAGATCCTCATAGATCCACGATCCTGAGACAGAGACAGTAATACGGTGACACAGCGGGGCAACCCCACAGGGAGGCACAGATTCATTCGCTCAGATGTTGATCTCCTCCATGGAAATCTCTAACTAGGGTTACCAGCGTTGGGGGCAGGTTTAGAGGAAATGACCTGGTGGATTGAAAAGCAAATTTCCCTTGGCCCCAAGTCACTAGATAAGAGTCTAGGAGGAAACGTGTAAGCCCTCAAAGGAGTGGTAAACGCTTGGCCTCCTTCACTTGCTACCAATCGTCTCTTGTCCACATTTTACAGAGGAGGAAACTGAAGCAGAGAGGACAAGACAGATGGCCAGTGTCCTGGCTCTGCATTCTGCCTTCAGCAGTGGCTGCAGAGGGTCTTGGTCAATGTGCACTTACACCAGTGCATTTCCATGTTGACTGCAGCGTTTCCTGCTGCTCTGAGTCCTTTTTTTGAGAAACTGGAGGAAGTCTGGTGTCTAAATCAGGGTGATCTCTTTCATGTCTCACCTCCCTGCCCCGCCTGGCCTCCCCTGGCCACACTGGGCTTTCGCGCCAGCACCCTTCTGCGCCTTCTCACACCATGCCGCTGGGGGAAATGACACAAGCACAGTGGTGCAGCCTGGTCCATGAGAGTCCCAGAGAGCAGGCTACAGGGGCCCTGGTACCTTCTCTCAGCCTTGCCCCAGCCCCAGCAGGCAGCTCCTGTGTCCTCTCCCCTCAGCCTCCACTCAAGGCCCACAGCCACTCAAGCTTCCACCCAGCCCAGCCCCCAACTCTCAGATAAATGCTGACAAACGTATTTCAGCAAGACAGGCCATTGATGCAACCTGTAACTTCCGGTGCACCCAGGGCAGATAGCTTCATCTTCCCCGTGCTCACCTCCTGCCCCTTACCCTGCCCTGTGTGAGGACCCTGGCTTGATCACCTCCTCCAGGAGGAGGACCATGTCCTACCTGTCTACCCATCTGTCCATCCACGCACCCATGCGTGCAACCATCCATCCACCCGTTCATCCATCCCTCATCCTTTTTTCCATGGCTTATCCAGTGTCCCTGTGTTCACGACGCCCTTATCCTCTTGACCTTCCTCCCTACCCCCACCACACTGCTCTCCACCCTCCCTGCCCAGCCAAGTTCCTTGGTCCATGGTCAATCCTTACTTCCCTCACTCCTCACACATGTAACCCTGCTGCGGTCTGGGTCTTCCCTACCCACAGAGCCCACAGGCACCATGAAAGGTCACTTCACCCCTGGGTGAGCAAACACAGGCCCATGTCTACTCACTGGACTGGGGTCCACTTCCTCCTCCACTGTTCTTCCTCACCTTCCAGCCTGCTCTTTCTCTGTCTCCTGGAGTCCTCCTCTCTACTACCCAGCTGGCAGGCTCTCTGTGGTGCTGTGCCTGAGCTCCACATTCTCCCTTCTCCTCTGGGAACCTTGCCACCAGCTGTGGACTGCTCACTCTCAGGTCTGCTGCCAGGCCCAGCTCTGAAGGCAGTTCTCTGCCCTGGGAGCTGTGGATGAAAACAGCACCGCCAGCAAGTACTAGTCTCACCCCCATTTCCCAGATGAGAAAGCTGAGTACGCTGAGGTGAAGTATTAATAACTTGCACACTGGGTATGGAGAAAGCCTGACCTGAGTGCAGCTTCGAAGCACACAGCTTCACCAGATATGCCCCGCCCAAGCCCTCCCAGGGTCTGGGCACTGTCCTCGGCTGCCTCTTCCCCAGGCTCCCCAGCATCCCATGGCCTGTGGAGTCAATATGGTGCAGAGCCAGCCCTACCCCGCTGCATGGTTCCCATGGGATCAGGTTCCTCTCCAGCTGAGACCACATCCTTGCTCAGCTTCTAGCCTGTTCCCGCTTCCCCTTCCCCCGGGCACACACTCCTGAGAAACTGCTTGCATAGGAATTTCCATCCGGAGCTCCAGTTCCGGGGACCCTGACCTAAGGCAGAGGAGCCCACATCCTATGGCAGGAGCCTCACCCACCTGGGCACCACCTGCCAGTCATCCCCCAGCACAGCCAACACAAAGCCAAGCCTTCTGCCAACCTGCTGTTCCTCCCACACTTGCATCTGCATTAACAGTACACCACTGGCCAGGCGTGGTGGCTCACACTTGTAACCCCAGTGCTTTCGGAGGCCAAGGTGGGAGGATTGCTTGAGTCCAGGAGTTCAAGACCAGCCTGGGCAACATAGTGTGACTCCCATCTCAATTTAAAAACTTTTTTTTAATTTAAAAAATTCAAAAGAAAAAAAAAGAAAGAAAAAACCAATAGTACACCATCTTCCAGGGGCCCAGAACCTGACCTGGGGTCATTCCAGCCTCCTTATCCCCCTTGTCCTCAGGATCCAGTCAGATCCCTGTCCTTGCTCAGATAACTTCTGCCTCCCTGCCTCTCTCCTGACCCCCCTCCCCCAATGCAGCCAGTGATGTTTCTAGAATGCAAAACTCCTCGGCGATTCCCCATAGCCTTCAGAACCCCATTTTCCAAACTCTTCCACATGCTTTCCAAGGCCCCTGGCGACACAGGACCTGCCATCCTCTGCCATCTCCTCACCAATGCCTATTTTTGCCTTGTGGCCTCAGATGTCCTGGGCCACTGTGCCCCTCACTGGTTCCTCCTACCTGACTACCTTGGACTTGCCAGCTGGCTGGTTCTTGCTTTCTTATTGCATCTCTCCCACCCTGTGCCCTCCAAGAGAGCAGGACCCTGTCCGTCTGGCCTCGTGCCACTTGGCACCCATTGTGGACATGTATATGAATGGGATGTCCCTTCCAGCAAGCCTCCCCTCACCCACGAATGAGGTCAACATCTCTTCTGGGCACCCACAAGCTCCAGGATTTCCTCTGCCATGATTCCATGTCGCTGTGTCACCGTGTGTGAAGTAACTCTGGCCACCCTTCTGACTCAGCTGCCGGACAGAGAGGTGTTTTTGTCTCTGCAAGTCCTCAGTCCCAGCTGGGAGCTGAGCACCTGGCAGGTCTTTGTGATGGTTAATTGGATGTGTCAGTTTGACCTGGTTAAGGTGCCCAACTGTTTGGTCAAACACTAGTCTAGATGTTGCTGGGAAGGTATTTTGTAGATGTGACTAACACCTATGATCAGGTGACTTTAAGGAAAGCAAATCATGGGGGCCCATCCAATCAGTTCAAGACCTTAAGAGCAAATCTGAGGTTTCCTGGCAAGGAAGGAATCCTGCCTCAAGACGATGACACAAATCCTGCCTGCGCTTCCAGACTGCCAACCTGTCCTGAAAATATTGGTCTTGCCGGCTCCCATAATCCCTGTGAACCAATTCCTTAAAATAAATTTATTTACACATACACATATCCTATCCATTCTGTCTTTCTGGAGACCCCCAAAAGATACAGCCTCCATCAATAAATGTGATTTGAACCTAATTCTTGGCTGGATATAGAGGCTCACACCTGTAATCCCAGCACTTTGGAAGGCTGAAGTGGGAGTATAGCTTGAGGCTAAGAGTTCAAGACCAGCCTGGGCAACACAGCAAGACCCCATCTCTAAAAAAGTAAAATAATGAGCTGGGCATGGTCATGCTCACCTGTAGTCCCAGCCTCTCAGGAGGCTGAGATGGGAGGATCACCTGAATTCAGGAGTTTGAAGCTGCAGTGAACTATGATTGCAACCAACCTGGGCAACAGAGTGAGACTCTGTTGCTAAAAAAAGAAAACGTGGCCGGGTGCAGTGGCTCAAGCCTGTAATCCCAGCACTTTGGGAGGCCGAGGCAAGAGGATTACCTGAGCCCACAGATTCAAGACCAGCCTGGGCAACGTGGTGAGACCTCATTTCTATAGTAAATCAAAAAATCAGCCGGGCATGGTAGCGGATGCCTGTAGTTTCTGGCTACTTGGAAGGCTGAGGCGAAGGATCACCAGAGCCCAGCAGGTCAATGCTGGGGTGGCCATGAGCACGACACTGCACTCCAGCCTGAGTGACAGAGACTTCAACACAAAAAGAAAAAAAAAAGAAAACCTAATTCTTTAAGACACACAAATCTGGGGAGAAGACCTCTTTGAAGAGAGGAGATGTTACCTGTTGACCCAAAAGTCCAGGTCTCCTCATCGTCAAAGTGAGTGTCCCCAGAGATGGGGTGCTCCCCAGGGAAGAAGGCATGGGCCAGGGTGCCCCCCAGTCCATCAAAGGGGTAACTGTCCTGGTGGTAGGCCCGGGCGAAGTCAATGAGGATGTCAGGCTCCTGGTCCCGCAAAGAATCCACCTCGTGAAAGGCGAGGCCCGACTCGACGCCCCAGGCGGCCAGCGCATAGCTCATGAGGACTCGCACCGTCTCCTGGCTCAGCTGGGAGCCCTGGGGGAAGGAACGGACCCTGAGGAGACAGGAGGGGAGTAAGGATGCTCGTGGAGGCAGAAAAGGCAGCCATTCAAGGCTAGGCCCTGGTAGGCCGGCCCAGGGCATGCACGGGTGGGCACCGGGACCTACCTCCAGGTCAGGGTTCGCTTCTTCCATATACTGCCACCCAGAGCATACCGCCGCCGCCGCCTGACCAGGCCTGCTGCCCCCAGCAAATCGGGCAGGGAGCAGCGGGGCTTACGCATGGTGGCCATCGTCACCAGGTCTGCAGGAAACAGGTTAGGAGAAGGGTCAGCAGTAGGAGAGCCTGCCTAGATCACAGTACTAGCTAACTTCCTAATGGGGAAACTGAGGCTGGGAGAGGGAGAATAAGAAATTTGCCTGGATTTGGCCCAGGCAGTCTGACTATGGAAGCCAGCTCATTCGAGCTAAGACTGCATCCCTTCAGTGGCATCACCCTCTCTGCCTGGCCCTATGGACTGGCAGTGTCTAGGTGGTGCTCAGAGGCTTAGATCTTGTGTCCTGCTGCCCTGGGCCCTAGTGGGTGGACTCTGGAGAAAGGAGCGCTGGGGATATAGCCGGGACTCCTCCCTTTGAGGCTGGAACCCTCCAGGGGAGGCTCAGACTTCCCACCATTGCTCCCAAGTCCTCATCACACCCCGATGAAGTCCAAAGTCCCCAGGACTGCTGGGCATCCAATCTCCTGCAGCAAGCCACCCCCTCCCAGTTGGGTATACCAGGGACCTCCTTTCCCAGCAGCCTCTTCGTTTTCGAATAAAGAGGTCAAACTGCACCTCATTTGTTGAGGTAGCCAAGTAGTCACTGAGGACAAAAAGATGCCAGACCATTCGAGGCTGTTCTCGAGAGTGAACAGGACAGAAGAAGCTCCTGCCCTTCTTTGTAGCTGGCCAGGACCCTGTGGGTCCCCTCTTTCTCCCCATGTCACCCCACAGAGGAGCTCCTCAGCTCTGCCTCCAAAACACACACCCCAGGTCCAGCTGCTCCGGCACCACCACCCCCAAGCCACCATCATCCCTCCCAGGGATGCTGCTGCCACCTCCTCACTGGTCTGGGAGCCCCCACACCCCAGCCTCCAGCAGCCACCAGAGGAAGCTGAAAACTGCAAGTCAGATGAGTGGCTTCTCACCTTAGGACACTTCTGCATTTCTTATCACCCTTGGAATCAATTCCAAGTACCTACCTAGGGTCCAGCCAAGGCTCTTACCAAAGCCCGTCAGCCCTCCCATCACTCCAGGTCACCAACTTGTGCACGTTGCAGGCCTTTGCACTTGTCAAGGACACTTTACATCTTCCCATGGCCAGCTCCTCCTCCTGTGGTCTCCACTCCAACGATATCTTTCAGAGGGGCTGCCCTAACCTGACCAGCCCCCCAATTCCGTTAGCATTCTGTTTTCTTCACAATACTCAACACTCCCTGAAATTATCTTGCATACTGATGCTCTTGACCTGTGTCTCTCTCTCCCTCTAGAATATCAACTCTATGACAGAAGGAACCTTAGCCACGTTGCTCACCACTGTACTGGCAGAGACCGAAATGGCCCGGCATGTAAGAGATTCTCAGACTGGACGTGGTGGCTCAGGCCTGTAATCCCAGCACTCTGGGAGGCAGAAGCGAGACTGCCTGAGCCCAGGGGTTCGAGACTAGCTGGGGCAACTTGGCAAGACCTCGTCTCTACAATAAATCAAAAAATTAGCCAGGCGTGGTGGTGCACACCTATGGTTCCAGCTACTTGGGAGGCTGAGGTGGAAGGATCTTCTGGGCCCAGCAGATCGAGGCTGCGGTGGCTGTGAGGGTGCCACTGCACTCCAGCCTGGGCGACAGAGTAAGATTCCAAGTCACAAAACAAAAACAAACAAATAAACAAAAGAGATTTTTAGGAAATGTTTATTGAAAAATGAATGCCTCATCCTGGGCAACATAGCAAAACCCCATCTCTACAAAAATAAAAATAAAAATTAGCCCAGTGTGGTGGTATGCACCTGTAGTCCCAACTACTCAGGAGACTGAAGTGGGAAAGTAGCTTGAGCCCAGGAGTTCAAGGCTGCAGTGAGCTATGATCACACCACTGCCTGGATGACAGAGTGAGACCCTGTCTATTAGGGCGCGGTGACTCATGCCTGTAATCCCAGCACTTTGGGAGGTCGAGATGAGAGGATTGCCTGAATAAATCAAAAAATTCGTTGGGTGTAGTGGTTCCAGCTACTTGGAAGGCTGAAACAGAAAGATAGCCTGAGCCCAGCAGGTGGAGGCTGCAGTGGCCGTGAGCAACAGAGCAACCTGGGCAACAGAGTGAGACTCTGAATAAAAATAAATAAATAAAAAATTAGCCGGGTGTGCTCGCGTGTGCCTGTAGCCCCAGCTACAAGGGCGTCTAAGGCTTGAGCCCGGGAGTGTGCGGCTGCAGTGAGCCAGGATAGTGCCACTGCACTCCACCATGGGCAGCAGAGTGAGACCCCATCTCCAAAAAGTAAATAAATAAAGATGAATGCCTGAGATCCCCCGGGAATGCACCCCGAGAACACTGAGCTCAAAGACTGCTGGGCACGGTCGAGGGGCACAGGGGCACAGTCGGGGAGGGATGGGGGCCACCTACCCATGAGACCCGTCTCGGGCAGGCCGGCGAACCTCTGCATGACCTTGATGGCATCTCGCAGCTTCGCAGGGCTCTGCAGCTGGGCCTGAGCGGGGTCAGGGGGCGGCAGGTAGCCGTAGCGGGTCAGCCAGTCCTAGGTCATTGAAGGGACAGGTGTCAAAGGCAGGGTGAGGGCACGGATTCTCCCTGGCGTTGCAGGTCTTTGTCTGGACCCAGGAGTCCAGGCTCTCCGTCCTCACCCCAGCTCCCTCCAGATCTCCAAAGCCGAGCCCCACACCTCCCGACAGATCCCTGATTCCGAGTCCCCAGACACTGTCCCAGTCGCTCAGTTGCCCTCTCCCAGCCTCCCTGCCCCCCAGGCGCCCGAGGTCCCCCGCGCTCACCACGCCCAGGCTCACGTCCTGCGCCGAGGGCTTCGCGGCGCGCGCAGGCGGCGGCAGCAGCTGGAGCAGCAGCGCCAGGAAGCGGAGCCGGGACACCTGCGGGCGCATGGCGCGCTGCAGCCCAGGGGCTCGAAGGGGGCCCGGCCGACGTCGCCCCAGGGACCTGGAGCAGGAGGTTGGGGCCTGGAGAGGGTCAGAGATGTCCGGTGCCGGGTAGAAGAGGGCTGGGGCGTGTCCAGAGCTCCGGGGTCCTAGCTGGCACGTCAAGGGTTCAGGCGAGGGGGACGCGCGGAGTCAGCGGAGAGTCCAGGGGCGCTGGGGGTCCCAGAAGGGCTGAGAGGGCGCAGGCGGGGGCCGCGGCGGCCTCTCGGGGGCCGGGACCCGG